GGCATGCTAGATTGTGAGTTAGTTCCTTTGAATGATTATTACCTGTCCCAATACCTACACTTGTGGCAATTTACCTGCTTGTCTTGCATGTTGTATTTCTTATTTTTGGCACAGCTGTTCAAATGAATGTGTAGACTGCAAGTGTGTATAAAACCTTTGAGCAACCATTGGAATACATTTATAACAAAGTTTGTAATACAGCATAAATAAAAAATTGAGCCAAGCTTGTTTTACACATTTTTTTTACATGTTATGATTTGTACTTTTTACAATAAACATGTGCAGTTCTGATTAGTTAAAACTCTGAACAAAATAAATTGTATTAATGCTGTCATGAATAAATTCAATTGAATTGTATTCATCATTATTTCTATAGTGCTTTTACAATGTAGATTGTGTTAAAGCAGCTTAACATAGATGATTGTAGTAAATGTAAACATGTGTCCGTCCAGTTTTAGAGTTGAAGTTCAGTTTAGTTTAGTTCAGTTCAGTGTGGTTTAAATTTCACTGCTGAAAGTCCAAACACTGAAGAGTAAATCCATGGATGTGCAGCTCCACAAGTCTCAAACCAAGCAAGCCAGTGGCGAGGAACAAACCATAGCAATTGACGAAAAAACCTTAAGAGACCAGGCTTAGTTGGGCATGACCATTTGTCCTCTGGCCAATCTTCTTGTGCAGAGCTGTAGTCTACATAAACACATGGTATAGGGAAAGTTCATTCAAAACTGAAAAAATATATCTTTTGTATTTAACAGATGAAAGAAACTTATAAAGATGTAAACCCACTTGTTGAGTAGGTTGTGACTAAATGTTTATTTTTGGGCAAACTATCCCTTAAAAATGTATATTTTGTAAATCTTCATTACACAAAAAATGCAAAACTCATATAAATTATTAAAAATTTAGATTCAATAGTTTTTATCATAATCATGTTGCTAGTTGGTTCAGTGATTTGAACATTGTGTTAAATTGCACGTCTCTGACATTTTGCACAGACCACATTACCCATTTCAGTTCATCAAAAACAACATGTGACATAAAAAGCTTTGTGAAACTCTGAGGTAAGGACTTTCAGTATTCATATTTTCATCTTCTAAACACTTCACCGAGGGCTATCAAATATAGAAGGGAGAATTCATCTTCAGTACATGAACACAAGATTAGACCATTTTTCTGACGTCTGTAGGAAAATTAATGAAAACAACAGCTCTGCGGAAATCAAATGTTTTGGCGTGTGCTCATAAAGTCCTCATCTGTCCTGCAGTGAGCGTCTTTACTGTAAATGATGGCGCATTTTCAGCTTTCACAATTCCATCTCCTGTATTTTCTAATGGCAGCTTTATTAGAACACAAAGGTAAGAGTCTTTGATATAAAGCAAATTATAGTAAAAGCTTTAGTGAGCATACATAAAAAGCTCAGTTTTATGGCTGTGTAAACATGGCATAGGCACCAGAGGGCTAAAGCACCGTGCAAACATCTAAAACAGCCACACAATCTGAAAACACTGATGATAGAAAAAAAATGAATCCATAAACAGAAATTAGATACACTTGAAACCAAATTTAATAGCCCTCCAGAGAATTTTTTGTTTTTCCCATACTGTTTTAGCAGAGCAAGGAATTTTACTCAGTATTTCCTATAATATTGTTCTTTTGTATTTCTTTACACTGTAAAACCCAACAAGTTAAGGTAACTCAAACTATTTAAGTTAAAAAACTAATGCTAATGTGTACTGTGAACTTAATCCATTTGAGTAAACAAATTAATTTAAGCACAGTAAACCCCATTAAATAAAGAAAACTCAAACCAACTAGGTACTGTGAAACGCAATAAGCTAAATTAAATTAAATCATTTGAGGAAACCGAAAATGAAAATGGTTTGCAACAAACCATTTTAGTTAAACAAATCAAATCTTTATGATTACATTGAACTTACTCTATTTAAGTTATTTAAGTAATGAAGTATTTAATTAACTGATTATCTTCAACGCTGAGTTCAAAACTCTTTTCAAATGAGTAGAATTAACTTTCAGTAAATTTTGAGTTGAATACACTCATTTTATTTGATAGAGTAGACTGTTGGGTTTTACAGTGTAATATTGTTTGGTTCATTTGGCATTTTTTATTTATAATTTTTTTTATTTATTTTAAGGTTAATATTATTAGCCCATGTAAGCAATATTGCTTGGCTACAGAACAAACTATTGTTATACAATGACTTGCCTAATTGACCAAACTTGCCTAATTAACATCCCATTTTAAATTAGCTGAAAACTGTATCTTGTAAAATGTACTGTCATCATGCCAAAGATAAAAGAAACCAGTTATTAAAAACAAGTCATTTTTTATATAATTCTCTAAGTATGTCATGTTTTGTGTTATTTTTTATTTATTTTTTTAGTGGCGATGAGGAGACCTTGTGAAAAGCTTCATGAGTTGAACATAAGCTGTGTTCAGCATAACAACATGTCTATTTCTTGTTTAACCACAACATACCCACTGGAGTCTCTAATGGTGAAACTACGCAAGAATAACCCGGTTAAAGACATCCTGATCTATCCTGACATCTCTCCAGCATCAGAGCACCAGAGATGGTCTGTGAGGAAACATGCTGGAAATGTTACACTTGGTCTGAAAGACGTCAGATTATCAGATGAAGGCCTTTATGAGTGTCAGGTTTACAAAGATCAGGACTGCCTTGACGCAACTCGATTTATCCTGACAGTCAAAGGTGAGAATAATATTTCTGAAACAATCAAATGATCCCAATTATTTCATTTAGTTTCTCTGTTTTCAGAGTGTAAAACGTTAGATCCTGTCTCTGCAGTATCAGGCTCTGCTGTGCTGCTGCCATGCTCTGAACATCCTCAACGAAACACAGCTGATCAAGTCACTTGGAAAGTCATTGAAGGTCACGAGTCAACAGATATAACACAATACCGCTCTTCATCCAAGACCTCAAGCAGCACAGAGAAACTCTCAAAGCCTCTGTATGAGAGAGCGAAACAACTAGAAAATGGATCTCTGCTTATAAGAGATGCAGTAAAAGCTGATGAACAGTGGTACCAGTGCAGAGTGAATGAGAAAACCTGCTGTAAAGTGAAGCTGCTGATCAAAGGTGTGTTTCAGTGTAATATTTTTGTAAACCTATTTCCACCCAAAATGAAAATTGCCATAATTTACTCACCCTTGTTTTGTTGAACACTAAAGGAGAAATATTGACGAATGTTGGAAACCTTTAACTATTGACAATGCTAGTAAGAAAAACAAATACTACAGGCAGAACAATGGTGTGTAAATGACGGTAGAATTTTTTTATTTTGGGTAAACTATTACTTTAAAGGTCACAAGTTAACTTTGAATAAATATGAGTAAACCCATTGCGACTTTAAACTCATAAGATGACTTAGCGTTTTTTTAGAATAACGCATATTGTTCATTCACTCAGTATCTTTCAGATTAGTCTCTGCTTTATCAGGGGTCGTGACAGCGAAATAAACCAGCAGCACCAATTACTCTGGTGTATATGTTTTATGCAGCGGTTGTCTTTCCAGCCACATCCCAGTACTGGGAAACACCAACACACTCTCTCATTCACACAAACACTAATTCACTGCGGCCAATTTAGTTTACCCAATCCTCCGATACCACGTCTGTAGAGAGAACATGCAAACTCCACAAAAAATGCCTCCTGTTGAACCAGCAACTCCTGTTGAACAAGCAATCAAGCTTGCTGTAAGGTGACAGTGTTAACCACTGAGCCACCAATAAAATGTGTAGTTACTGTAAGTTTTTTTTTTTTTTTAACTAATATGATAATGTTAACATGTCTGTGAATATTTAAACAGTCTTGTTGAAGGGTAATGTTTTCATACTAGCTTAAAAAAACGTAGGTTAACATCTGTTTTGCTTTCTAAATATCTGCTGAAATTTTAGATGCTTTTCAAACTGTAACAATTGTCTGTGATTTTATTCTAGATGAGACGTTTCATTCATTGACAACAGTAACAACATTTCCCACAGCACCAGGGGCCTCATGTATCAACGCTGCGTACGCACAAAAACTTTGCGTACGCCAGGTTTCATGCTCAGTATCGCTCACGTTTGGATTTACTAACAATGAACTGAACGTGGGAATGTGCGCAGGTTCACGGCAGCTTTCTGGCAGGCGTACGCACATTTTTTGTGCGTGTCTGTTTTATTTCCATTGGCAACTCCTAGAGGCAGTTGTGTTAAATTCTTCTCTACAAAGTGTCTGATCCTTGCAATGGCAGCTGTATGAGGCGGGTTCATATAGTAGGTATGTAAGATTTTCATACCATACAGTTGACCAGCTAAACATTAAAGCACAATTTGCAGCAGTCGCCTGTTTTCCCAATGTAATCTGAGCGATCTACCGCACGCACATTGCTATAGAGACTCTATCTGAAGATGAATTTGTATGCGTGAATCAGAAACATTTCCATTCAATAAATGTGCAAATAAAATATGATGCACAAACTTATTGATGATTCCTACTTGTCTTTCTCTTAATAAATAGTGGGCAAAATCTGATATGTAGCGGGGAAAAAAAAGAAAGAATTCATTAGACGCTGGATTCGAGCCGAGTTTATGCTCAAACATGTCAGAACATGATCACATGCTTCTTCTGAGGTGCGCCACTGAGACTGCTAAGGCTACTGCAACATTTTTCACTTATAAATCACACTATTTCTTTTTTAAGGTGTTTTAGGGTGTTTTGTGCTCGTGCATGTTGCGCTCAGTTTCACGTTCATTCAGATGTACAAAAGAATATGTGTGAGATTCGGCGTACGCAGTGTTTCATACATCTGAATGCACATTTACAGCTTTGTGCGTACGCAATGTTTTAGTAAGATTTCCACGCAAGTCTTCGTACATGAGGCCCCAGGTCATTTTGGGATAAAATGTGTCTAAATATTTGCTGAAATTTCAGATGCTTTTCAAACTGTAACCATTGTTTGTAATTGTATTATAGAGACGACATTGCATTCCTTAACAACATTTTCCACAGCACAATTAGGTAATTGTAAAATAAAATAAAAATATACCCCCGGTTCCACAGACAAGGCTTAAGCCTAGTCCTAGACTAAAATGTAAGTTTGAGCTGTTTCAACTAAAATAAAATTGCACTGATTGATTTTTAAATTCATTAGTGCCTTTGTTTTGTTTCAAGATACACACCAGTAATGTTTTATTTTTTTCTAAGTATGTTTATAAAAAATTACCTAAATGTCCTAATTGAACCATGGCCTAATCCTGGCTAGTCTAAGCCCTGTCTGTGAAACCAAGCCTTAATCATTCAGATTTAGATAATGTTTATTTAAGTTTTTCTTATTATTACAGATCCTTCAACCCCTTCTGAGAGTCCTGTTGGTCTACTGAAAGGCAACAGTGCTGCACTCGTGTCAATGATAACTAATCTGACAGTAGTGGTGATGGCCACAATAACATGTGTGATTCTTTATTTCAAAACCCGAAGCAACAAAATCAACAGCCAGAGTAAGTCCACAACTGAAAATCTTAACACTGTTCTTTAGCGGTATATTGTAGGGGAAGATTGCTTTAGTCTTAAAAGAATAAATAAATAACTCTGGAAAAAGGTTATTCAAACCAAAACTCTGACCAGCTGTACCATATTTTGTAGTTGCTTTTTACTGTTGTCCATGTACATGTATAAGATGTGCTGTTATATGAGTATACAAGCTGTCAGACATTTAACATAACATATTTAAACATAAATACATTTGTTTATAGTTATTATTTTTGTCTTGTTTGATTGAGATATGAAATTAAAGGCATATCATTGCATCCTGATGTTAAGTGTTGGAACGTTGGAAGCATGAAATACTTTTTTTTTCATATTTATGCAGTTTTATGAATTGATCAGATGCCAAATGCTTTTTTTGTATTTTGTAGTTGAACTGAACTGCAAGTCATTTGTCTGTTATTCAGAAATGTCAGGAGGTAAGTAATATTCATTTTAGGTCCTTAAAGAATGTGTAACTTTTGTACTTGATCAAGTGTATTTATTAAATACACTGACGAAGAATCTTTTTCTTGCAGGGTTTGATATCCCGCTATGTGATAAGCCTAACTGAACAGCATATACTCAACAAATATTCATGAACCTGAACAATATTAAAATAAGCAAGCAAGCTAACATCCATGACAATAGAATGCAGTAAAATAATTGAAACCACTGTATTTAATGCTTGTATTTTTTTTTCTAATGAGTTCATAAACATGTTTTGCTTAAAGTTTATTTGAGATAAGCAATTCTTGTAATTTTAGAGACTGGACCTGTCCCAGTATTCACACTTGTGGTCTTTGCATTTAGCTTGGCTTCTTGTATACTGTATATCTTATATTTGGCCCAATTGATCAAGTAATTTTGAATACTGCAAGTACATATACAATTTTTGCTAAACATGTAGTTTCAAATAAAAAGTTATTAGCCTAGTCATTATTGCTTTAATTACTGTTACCATTAATAATAATAATTAATGTTAGAGTGATTTCTGAAGGATCATGTGACTCTGAAGGCTGGAGTAATGAAGCTAAAAACTCATATTTAAAATCAAATTCAATTAAATTAAATAAAATTTTTAATAAATGATAAACTACTTTTGAACAGTTATTTAATAGTGCAATAATATTTCACAATTTTACAATTTGTATTGTATTTTTGATTGAGTAAATGCAGCCTTGGTGAGCATACGTTTATTTTAAAATATTTAAAAATCGTACTGACCCCAACTTTTGATCAATAATGTAAATTTACACATTTTGTACATGTTATACATCGTGATTTTTACAATAAACCTGCAGCTCTATTCATTGGAGTCTTTTATCTTAGGGTGTTATTTATTTAAATTGATTTTCTAGCTGAAAAATCAACAACTCGTTATGATGTACAAACTTGTATTTTCTTATTATACAGTATTATTTTATATTTGTACACACAACTGTCTGTAGAGCACACAGTTTGACCATTGTTAGTCCAAGTCATTTCCCCATCGACAAATGAATCAGAAGTTCTAAAACAATCCCAGAAAATAGCTTACTTCCACATTGCAGAATGAGGACAATATGAGCCATTTTAATGTACTTGCACAACCTCTCTCTCTCTTTTAAGTTTGTGCATTCTCTCTGTCTGCCGGTGACTGCGGATTCAATACGGGGACTAGAAAATCTAACATGTCATAACTGGCAAAAAAATTGTCAAACAAATTAGTTTTTACTTGCCTAGACCATAGAAAATGACCAGGGAGTGAGGGAATATTCAACAGTTTGCCATATGTTCAAGTATTTTAAATTTGCTTCGTGTTGTGCATTTAAAAACCCTTAACTTATCTCTTACTTAGTTCAAACTTTGAACAAAATAGATTTTATTAATGATATATAATGTATATTTATTAATGATTTCTGCTATATATTTTATTAATGATATATATTTCTCTAACCTATATTGCTAGGTTTTTAGCACAATGTAATGTTTGCTATAAGTTTACAACACAAGCATCACATTTAATGCATATCTCAGTCAAAGCTTGTTGACTGATGTTAAAGTAAACGCACATTTCAGATTCATCTTGCTCAAGTTTTGGTGTTGATATTATTTTAGATTATATAACACAAGCTTTATTTCTATATCAGATTAAATTTCATTTAATAGAAGTGCGTTTAAAACATTATGTAATTAAATGCTTACACTGAAAAAAATGCATTTGCTGTTTGTTCAAACTACTTATTTAAAATAAGCTGAAACAACACAATTCTTGTTTTTGAGACAATTTAATTATTTTATGTTCAGTCCACTTAAATTTGTAAAAACTTATAAGTTAACTGAATTCCTTCATTTTGTATTAACACACATGGATTCTGTGGAACCCAGCATTTTTTAAAAGTGTACAGGGATCACTCTTACTTCTGTACATACTAAGCATATCTGTGGTGCACACAAAATACTGTAAGTGTAAATACTAAACAAAAGTGTGCACACAACTAGGTAAGTGGACCTCACCATATAATTTATTGATTTCTCACAGGCGTTTTACCTGTATAAATTAACTATTTAAACGAAACATCCAAAAGCTTACCAGAATAATTCACTCAGAATAAAAAAACTTGATAATTTACTCTTGTCATCCAAGTCCTTCACTTCCACAATTGATATTCACCATTGTACATGATGATAACAACCATTGGCTGTCTAGTATTTTTTTTTATTAGAAGTCAATGGTAACCTTCAACTGTTTGGATAACAAGATTTTTCACAATGTCATCCTTTACATTCAACAGAAGAAAAAAAACCTCATACAGATTTTTAATTGAAGGGTGAATAAATGATGGCAGATTTTCATTCTGGAAGTGAACTACTTCTTCTTTAATTTTATTCATTAGTTAAAATGAGAATGAAAATGTCTATTTAAAAAAATTGATACAGAAAAAAGTGCAATATTTGTTCGAACACCAATATGAACCTTAAAGCAATTTGTTAGAAAAAGATATAACAAAACTGTCTTTAATAAATTACTTTACACTTTTTTTTATCGAAATCATGTTGCTGGTTGATTTAGTAATTTGAACAATGTGTTAAATTGCACGTCTCTGACATTTTGCACAGATCACATTACCTATTTCAGTTCTTCAAAAACAACATGTTACATAAAAGGCTTTGTGGCCTGCTCTGCTCGAAACTCTGAGGTGGGGACTTTCAGTGTTCATATTTTTCATCTTCTATATTTATAAATACATTTCACTGAGGGCTATCAAATATAGCAGTGAGACTTCATCTTCAGTACATGAACACAAGATTAGCCAATTTTTCTGACGTCCGTTGGAAAATTACTGAAAACAACAGCTCTGAGGAAATCAAATGTTGTGGCATGTGCTCATAAAGCATTCATCTGTCCTGCAGTGAGCGTCTTTACTGTATATGATGGCGCATTTTCAGCTTTCACATTTCCATCTCCTGTATTTTCTAATGGCAGCTTTATTAGAACACAAAGGTAAGAGTCTTTAATATAAAGTAAACTAACATTATTTATAAAATGCTCATTTTAGGGAATATATTGTTTTATGCTATATAGTATTATTTTATTGTACATTACTGATGTTTTTAGGCTGTTGTAGTAAAACAGTATTAAGGATACTTTTAGCTCGCAACAAGTTTTAGACTTCAAATTTACATTTATACATTTTCAAAAACATGCTTTAGTTTAAGTTTACTCATGGTTTCTGGAGTTTGTCCACACTGTAAAAAAAAAAAAACTAATTTTACAGAAAAGACAAAGACAAATTACCGACAATTTTGTTTTTTATACAGAGAAGTTACAGTATTATTTATACAGTATTTTTTCTGTTATTTTAAATTAAATTCAAAAGTTCGTAAAAATTACAAACATTATCTGTAAATTAACAGCTTGACTGTTATTTTATGTACTATATAATTAATGACAAATTACAGCAATTTGTCTGTTTTATACAATAAAATTGACATATTATTTACAGTGATTTTTCCAGTTTTTTTTAAGTACATTTAAAATTACGTAAAATTAAAATAATAAATTGTAATTACTTGCTCTGTAAAAAAAAAATCTTAAAAAAAAAAGGTCAAATGACTGGCAGCTACGGCTGCCAAACAAAAAACCATAAAATTAAGGTAAAATTTCTTTGTTGAAATAAAGTGCAAAAAATATTAAATCTACAGATATTTTCATTAAAATGTTTTCAGAAAAACGCTGTTATTTTACAGACTTTTCCTAGATTATTACGATCAAATCCATTTAATAAAGTAACACACTAAGAGGGCTCACATACACCTGTTTCAGATTCTGCTGATTGCACACACACAGTCAGAGGATCGTTATGAACTGATTACATGCACTTTAAAAGCAGCACAGGCGCACGCACCAATTGCTTAGTCTTGTTATATTGCTACTGTGAACATTAGAATGCGTTTCTCTTCTTTGGCCTTGCTTTGTTTGTTAATTGTTTACGTTGTTTGCTGCCAGGACTGATCATTTGCTTGTTAATTGAACATGACTCTGGATTCCCTGCATACATCTGTTTCCAGGTTGCCCCTGTGTTGACTTTTGCTTACCTGACCATCTCTGTGTAATAAACCTGCATTTGAATCTGCACTGCTTTGTCAGGGTCCCCTTCATGTTACAGCTCCATTTAATTTAAGATTTGGAACTGAATTATTTCATACAACTTAAACCTCTACATGTTTTAAAGTAAATACTATTCAATAAAATGTAAGATATGGTTGTGAGAATTTTAATAAGTTGTATCTCGTTTGATGTTTTTTCCAAACTTTTTTGATCCAAAATACAACTGTTAAATTACGACCAAGAGCATGTCTTGGCATTTTATTAAAGGCGTTTAATTGTAAAAAATAAATTAAATAACATTGTTTTCTCTTGAACTTTTAGTGCAGTCACTTTATTGATGGTGTTCGATCATAATAATCTAGGAAAAGTCTTTAAAATAACAGTGTTTCTCTGTAAAACTCTTATTGTGTTACTTTATTAAATGGATTTGATCATAATAATTTAGAAAAAGTCTGTAAAATAACAGTGTTTTTCTGTAAATATTTTAATGAAAATATCTGTGGATTTATTATTTTTTGCACTTTATTTAAACAAAGAAAATTTACCGTAATTTTATGGTTTTTGTTTGGCAGCCGTAGCTGCCAGTCATTTGACTTTTTTTTTACGATTTTTTTTTTTTACAGTGCACATTTTAAGGCAGCAGGTAAAATTTTTTTCAACGCTGTAAAAAAAATATGTTACTCACTTAAATTTTTAAGTTGAATCCATTTAAGTTGAAACCTGATTAACTCTCTAAATTAAGTGAAAGTAACTTTATTATGACATTTTATGTAATTGTGTTCGATGTAAATTTAACCTAATTTATTTCCTTTTTATGAGCCATCTAAGTACAGTTTGTTAATGAGGAGCTTTATCTGGTAGTATGGCTTTATTTTAACATCGAATTTCCCACCGTGAAAGTCATTTAAAAATATCAATACTTCCCATGGCACTTTACCGAGAACACAAGAATATCGGCAACTACCGCAACAGCTAGGCATGGGCCGGTGTAAGATTTTAATGGTATGATAACCTTGCAAAAATTCACAGTTTGTGATTACTGCTCCAAAATTGGCTCTTTTTAAATGTCTGGGTAAAAAGCTAAAACTTAGAACACAATATAATTATTTTCAGAAACATTTATAATATTTTGGAACTGTGGTATTTGGAAATATCTGTTCAAAAACACAGATTTCTTTACAATTTAATATCTTTTCTGCTAGAGATACTGTTTTCCTAAAAAAAATGTAAATTAAAAAATCTTACACATACATTAGGAACGGTATAGCAGAAAAATTTGGTGGTTTTAAAACCTTGACTTTTCCGCTGTGGTATTGGTGTTGACAAAAACTGTATCAACTTTTTATTGATTTGATCTGGTTTCATAAAATGCATTTATGCATGTAGATGTAAAGTAGAATGAGTTGGTAACAATTAAATGTTATTTATTATCTTATTTACTTGTTAAAATTTTTGTTAGGGGCCATGCACAATTGTGATATAAATGTTTACAATTCATGCATTTTACTGTGGTTCCTTTAAAGGTAAACACTAACATAAAACATAAAACAACAAACATGTACAGTTGAAGTCAAAATTATTAGCCCCCCTGTTCATTTTTTATTTTTTACCCAATTTCTGTTCAACGGAGAGAAAAAAAAAAAGTCTACAGTTGGAAGAAAAAAAAAACATAGCTTTTGTTTTACTATTTTGCAAGACATTGTGGCTTTGACTATAAACCTCTCTGTTGCTAACCCTGCTGTGCATTTTGTCTTTGAAAAAACTACATATTTACGGGCCTTGCACTGATCCTTGGCATACAAATTGAGCCATTTAAGTACAGGGATAAACCCTTTTTGTTTTTTACACATTGATCTCTTGAGTTACATCATAAAGCACCAGATCATTGAAGAAGTAAATTGCGACTAACTGTGTCAAAAGCAGTCTAAACTATAACACCAACTTTTATTTGACATTACACTAAAAGTAGACTAATTGCTTAAGTTGAGTATTTTTTCAGATTTTGAATCTAGACCAAACATAATATTCAGATGTCACTTGTTGAAAAACTACAGTCGACAACTTTTTAGATTGCTGGCAGCATGTTAATAGAGCTATGCTTAACTTCAAAATGATCCTCTGATTTAAAAATATGAGAAACAATAAGAGTTTGTTTCTATTCTGTATAAAGAAAATTATTAAAATGACAAATAATAATAATAATAATAATAAAAAGAGAAAAATGGTAGTGTCAAATAGAGGAGGATCCCTGCATTTAACTTTTTTACATATATTATCATTACCAAGCTGCATTTGAATAATCTGTTATTGGATTTATCTTTTGAAGTGACCCTTTCACAGGGATGAAGAGTGTAAAGGTTAAAATCTCAACAAGATTTCTTTGCACTTTTCATGCAATGACACCCACAAAACAGGCTCGGAACAATGAACATTGTGCAGACTGTGCCTTTCTTTTATTTATTTATTATTATTTTATTTATTTATTTAGACATGCATGTTTGTATTTAGCCTATGTATGTTTGTATGATTTTAGAATTAGCATTTATTTTATTTTAAGCCTTTTTTATTTACAACTTTATTCATAAATATTACAGTAATTGACTACAGAAAAATGCTATACTTACATTTCATTGGAAAAGTCAGATTCTGAGCCTCCAATTGTCATTCTGTTACACCGACTTCCCTATGTTTTACTCATTTTAAAATAGGCTAGGCCCACACAGAATCTGTGCATGCAAAAATCCACAGATTTCCACAGATTTTTAGCCTATCGAGTCTATGTATTTACTTGTGTAAATGTGTGTAAATTTATATTATACAGTTTTTAAAATTAATTTCAGTAATATTATTGACTAACATAAAATTGTTCAAATGATTTATTTACAATACAGTTTGTAAAGTAATAGTCTTTCAATAGGTCTATTATATGAAAGGTTTGCTTTATTGTATAAGTGGATCTAGATGGATTTGCATTGTAAAAATTAAATACATTTTTTTTTAAAAGGTATTATTTATTACTTTATATATTAAGTTTTTAGTTTTGATACTCCCAAAATCATAAATCTGCAGATTAAAAAAAAAATCTCAACAGAAATATCAAAAAAAAAAAAAAAAAAAAAGTCCACAGATTCTTTCTGGCCCTAGTCCCTAATATCCTTTAAACATTAAATGCTAAAAAAAAAAAAAAAAAAAAAAAAACCTCAAAAACAATAAAATGCATCAATACATAAAACACACACACACACACACACACACACACACACACACACACACACACACACACACACACACACACACACACACACACACATATATATATATCTTATTTTTTATTAGTAATTTGTTTCTATTTGCAACTACAAAGGAAATAAATGAGGAATACTAAAATTAAAATCTTTTTTGTTCTTTTAGAGGTATATACATTTAAATAAATGTATGCTTAAAGGTTAAATTACAGCTTTAGCCCACAACATCAGTCATTCAACGTTTAGTAATACATTTTTGATTGAATAATTCATAACACAATACTTTTAGAAATACTTTAAAAAGGAGGTGATTGAAAAATTATTGACAATTAAATTAATATGTTTTTACCCCCATCTCATTCAAGTATGTATTATTGTTAATTTCTTTTTAGTGGCAACGAGGAGATCTTGTGAAATGTTTCACGAGTTGAACATAAGCTGTGTTCAGCATATCAACATGTCTATTTCTTGTTTAACCACAACACACCCGCTGGAGTCTCTAACGGTGAAACTACGCAAGAATAACCCGGTTAAAGACATCCTGATCTATCCTGACATCTCTCCAGCATCAGAGCACCAGAGATGGTCTGTGAGGAAACATGCTGGAAATGTTACACTTGATCTGAAAGACGTCAGATTATCAGATGAAGGCCTTTATGAGTGTCAGGTTTACAAAGATCAGGACTGCCTTAACGCAACTCGATTTATCGTGACAGTCAAAGGTGAGAATAATATTTCTGAAACAAGCAAATGATCCCAAGTTGTGTTATTTAATTTAGTTTCTCTGTTTTCAGAGTGTAAAACCTTGGAGCCTGTCTCTGCAACATTAGGCTCTGCTGTGCTGCTGCCATGCTTTGAACATCCTCAACAAAACACAGCTGATCAAGTCATTTGGAAAGTCATCGAAGGTCACCGGTCAACAGATATAACACAATACCGCTCTTCAGCCAAGACCTCAAGCAGCACAGAGCAGCACAAACTCTCAAAGCCTCTGTTTGAGAGAGCAAAACGACTAGAAAATGGTTCTCTGGTTATAAGAGATTCAGTAAAGGCTGATGAACAGTGGTATCAGTGCAGAGTGAATGAAAAAACCTGCTATGAAGTGAAGCTGCTGATCAAAGGTGCGTTTTATTGTTATACTTCTTACCCTGAAGTCTCAGTTGATGTAAAATTTGGATGAGATAAGATCCACGAAATAATAGTCTTCTAATTAAATATCATCTTTTATTTTAACAAAAATGATAAATCACTTTAAATGACATGTTGACATAATGATATTTAAATAATCTATTACAAAAAATCTCAAATTTTATGTATATATATATATATATATATATATATATATATATATATATATATATATATATATATATATATATATATATATGGGCAATTCTTCAACTACGGGCACTTGTAAAATTGAGTAAAATTAACTTGTTCAAAATTAACAAAGCATAGCCTTATAAGTTTAAACAATTTGTCTAGTTTTTAGATCTGTAAGAGGACAAACTTAGATATGAAGGGAAACTGTTAATATTTAACATTTTTTTTCCATCGTGAACTGAACAAATGTCATTTGCACCACATCTCAATATACAGCTTTTATTTCAAAATGAAATAAATTATGGCAGTCAAACATTGTCCAAGATCTTTTTTGTATCTAGTTTGACCAATCTTTCCACAATATATACAATAATTATACATTTGTCAGTTTAGTAAATTAGTTTATTGGGACCAAATGCTGTTTTGTACACCTGATACACTCTAAAATGTAATATTAATTAGGTTAAGAGCTTATTAGAAAATAAATAAACTGAATTTGTATATTAAATAGAGCATGAACTCATAAATTGTGATTACACTTTTAATGTGTGATAAGAACTTTTTTTTTTAAATGTAAAATTGTATGTGGTGATGGAAATAACAGGGCCGTGGTGGAAATGACAGGGTGTGGTGGAAATGACAATCAATCAGTGTTAATGTAAAAAACATTAGATATTTATTAGAAAAAATATTAAACTCTTAAACTCACACTTAAAAATAAATTTACTAATTTGTAAAATAAATTTACTAATTTACAAAGCATAACCACACATTTTTTGCATGCTAAAAAAACTGATTTGTCTAACAGATGAACAGTAACAGTGCATAAATAACTGATTATTTTTCAAATATTATTTTAATAATTTTTTTAATTAAATAAATTACACGTCTACAGGGGTTAGACAATGAAACTGAAAGGCTTGGTTTTAGAGCACAATAATATATTAGTGCAGTGGTGCAGTTGGTAGTACTCTGGCCTCACAGCAAGAAGGTCGCTGGTTCCAGCCCCTGCTGGGTTAGTTGGCATTTCTGTGTGGAGTTTGCATGTTCTTCATGTGTTTGCGTGGGTTTTCTCTGGGTGCTTCGGTTTCCCCCCCACAGTCCAAACACATACGGTATAGGTGAATTGGGTAAGCTAAATTATCTGTAGTGTATGTGTGTAAATGAGAGTGTATGGGTTGCGTATGTTGTGATGGGTTGTGGCTGAAAGGGCATCTGTTGTGTAAAACATAATCTGGATGAGTTGGCGGTTCATTCCGCTGTGGTGACCCCTAATGAATAAAGACTGAAATGAAAAGAAAATGAACAAAATAAAAATTCATTAGTATGGTGTCGGACTTCCTTTTGTACCATCAGTTCATCTCAGGAATGACAGACACAAGTCCTGTACAGTGGCCAGAGGGATTTTGAACCATTCTTTTTGCAGAATAGTGTTCAGAATCACTATGTGATGCTGCTGGAGGAAAACATTTCCTGAGTCATTCGCCCACAATACCCCATAGTGCTCAATAATATTAGGATCTGGTGACTGTGCAGGCCATGGGAGATGTTCAGCTTCACGTTTATGTTTATCAAACCACTCTGTCACCAGTCTCGTTGTGTGTATTGATGCATAATCATCTTGATACAGGCCACCATGCAGGCACGTGCATACATAGGGCTCAACCTGTGCAGTGCACATGCCCTTTTAAGGCTTGGATAGAAAGTGCTCCTGCGACATCTAGCACCATTATTAGGTCTAGGGAATGCCATGATATTGCAGCCCAAACCATCACTGATCACCCCATGTTTTACTCTGGCCATTAATAGTCTTGGTGGGATGCTTCTTTGGGGCTCCACACCAGAACTCTACCGAATGTGGTAAATACAATGAAGGTGGGTCTCATCAGAGAACAAAACATGTTTCACATTATCCACAGCACAGGATTGTGGCTGCTGCATCATTTAAACAGGTGTTTGGCATTGGCACGAGTGAGCAGTTGGCCATGTATATTGGAGGTCCCAACCAACAGTTTTGGTGAAAACAGGAGAGTTGAGGTACATATTTAATTCTGCAGTGAGTTGAGCAGCTGTGGTTTTATGTTTTTTGGATACAATAGGTGTACGGACCCGGACATCCCTTTAAGACAGCTTCCTCTTGAGTACATAGTTACTTTGATTGGATGTGGTTCCTATTCTTGGTAGTTTGCTGACATTACTCTGGATACCATGGCTCTTGATACATTACAAAGACTTGCTGTCTTTAGTCACAGATGTGCCAGTGAGATGCCCACCAACAATTTATCCTCTTTTGAACTCTGATATGTCACCATTTGGCATAATGTTGTGTGCATAGCAATATTTCAGCACAACTGTGCTGTTACTCTGCAAATCAGACCTTCACACTCTGCTCTTTCTGGTGGTATGTGAAATCAAATGAGGACTGGCCACCAGCTCCTAAAATTTAGACATGAAACCTTCAACACTAAATTGGCCAATGTTTCAGTGTCATTGTCTAACCCCTGTACTTTTGCAATCCATATTAATTGTGTTTTGAAACCATAAATATAATTTCCACCACCATGCTGTCTTTTCCACCATGGTTGGCACTTATTTACCTTAATTTTGTTTGTTTTTTTAAGTGCCTTTAAAGGTACAACATGTTTGGAAATGACGTAGAATAAATGTATTTACCTATCAAACAATATTTATCTTCATTTTCCTTCATGTGTTGTTAATGAAAATTTAAATTCCCTCCATCTTGAACATGTTCTCAGATGGCATTATTCATTTTCACAGAAACCACCTAAATAATCTTTCACGCTAACTCTTTAAAGTAAAATTTCAGTGTTGTGGTGGAAATGACATCGAGATTAAAAAATAATATTGATAATAGTCTCACATTCATAAGTGTAAAATATTTCAATTATTTTACTAGTGCCTAATTAAGATACATTAATAGTTACCAGATAAATAATATTTTAAAATGTTATTTTCATTGCTGAAGTTTAAAACTCTGTGTGTGCGACAAGGCGAAAACAGTGATTTTGACCCCTAAAAAGAGGTTGAATAATATGAAAATAATATAATAGAAAGCTGGTCATTTTTTTAAAAGTTGGTTTTATTGTTAGTTTGACAAAAAAAAAGAAATTTGATTAAAATTATATATATTTTTGGATATATGATCAAAGTAACTAAAAGTGCCCGTAGTTGAAGAATTAACCATATATTCTCTGGAATTCTGATATCTATGATCATAGTATAATAGTGTGTGAACCATTAGAATCATTAAGATCTTTAGACTCTGGTAAAAAAAAAATCTTATATATGGTCAGATACTGTAACAATTCCTCCATACTCCAATCATCCACTACACGTGTGCGTCCTCATGCCAAGTAACAAAGCAAAACAAAACATTAAAAAAAATCAGTTTTCAAATCCTTCACAGTGGTTGAATGGGCTTCCAAACTCTAAAACATGTGAAGTGCTAAAACCATCACATTCGAGAAAGAAAAACAGATCTTTTGCTAATATATACTGTAACCACCCCAAACCCTTTAACCAATGCACACACTTTCTATACAACCTCTCTCTTTGAGCCGAAGTAAACAGTACACAGCCAGGACAATGCGAATCACTATGAAAACCCTTGCTTGGCCAAGTTAGAGACTGAATTTAAATCCAATAAAAATATCACTGAGAAGAGCTGAAAAGAGCTGGAGGGGTTCTTCAGGCAAGATTGGCTGAAAATTCTCAAATGCAGCCGTGGAAAACCTTTGACATCCAAGCCAAAAACACTTGGGGCTGTAATTACTGCTAAAGTGATGTAATTCTAAAATTCCTCCAAATCTACTGTGATGATGAAATACAAAATTATTAAATCTCTTGGAAGACCCAAGGGTGATCGCAACATATTCTGCATGATAATAAAAAGTAAGAAATGCAAACGCTTGAAATTGAATATATTTTCCACAAGACAAGTATCCCAGTTTCTGATTCGGTTGATGATAATTATTTTTACCTTTTTTTCTAGTGGTCTCAGATCCTTCAACTCCAGCTCCAGCTACTCAAAGCTATGTGCACACGCATGCAGATATAAAACCTGATCTGACAGCAGTACTGATGGCCACAATCACATCCCTGTTTGTCCTCATATTATTGATCATCTGTGTGAGTCTTTATTTCAAAAAGCGAAGGAGAAAAATAAACAACCAAAGTAAGTCCAGAGCTGAAATTCTGAAAAAGTTGAACTCTTCTTTAAAAGCATGGTTTTAATCACAATAACACCTTTTTATAGAGTAAAGATGAAGTGATGATTGTTTTAATAACATGTTTAACATGTTTGCTTGGGTTACCTTATATTATACTGCCTATTTATCTAAAGAGAAACCTGAATCACCACACTTCAGAATCAACACTTACAGAGCTTATAGGTGCTGTATGTAAGTTTGACACCCAGTGGTTGAACAATGTATTGCATTCCTGAATCAAAACAAACGCAAACACAGGTTGCCAGACTGAGGACCAACAGGTATAGTCTCGAGTCTAAAGGCTGATTTAAACCGTAAATTAACGCAACGGCTGGCGATAGGAATTTTGTTCTAACCAACATCTCAATTTGATATATTAGAAACAGATTCTATTTCTCACAGCTGAACAACAAAAAAACTGATAATGATCACCTTTGTGCTTTATTCAGTGTTAAATGCAAACAATCTGACTTTGAATGCCATTTTACATGACCATACCACTGAAAGGAGCAGCAAATAAACCGTTTTTAAATTAAACTTTAGAACTGTGATTTAAAACCAGCACATTGTGAGTCAGAATGTACATTTAATAATGTTAAAGAGGTTTAATAAGTATTAATTAGATTATAAACCTTACCATTTCATGAGTAAATGCATGTTCTGTGCTTCTAAATGCTTCTCTATTTAAATTTCTGTCATGTTTTGTCTGTTACAAACAGTGAAATTGCTCATCACTGCATATCTCGTCATGTAGCATGTTGTTAGGTGATTACAACCTGCTCATCTAAAGTTTACACTCCTAATATTTATACTATTTGCTTATTAATAACCTCATGTGAAACTCTGAACCTGCTTCTCATTTTGGAGTTCAGGGCTGCCAATTCTCACGCATTCGGCGTGAGAGTCATGCAATTGACCGTATTCTCATGCTCTCACGCTACACATCCATTTACTCACACAGAAAAAATCATCCCATGAACATTTTTTTTCCGTTATAATAAAGACAGTGGTAAAGACTTTTATCATTTTATAGAGATGTTATTCTCTCTATGCGCAACCGATCCAACGCTGGTGAAAGCAAGCCATGTAATCAAAAACAAACTGACACATGCGTGCAAAAAACATACTTGCGCGCCTCTCGCACCACCCCTGCTTGATGCTGATGCGCTGCTCATGTTGCCACTCCCGGTATGAATCCTGGTTGTGAACATGCATGTCAAAAAATATAGACGTCGCTCAGGCGTTGTGCTACAGGTGTTGTGCCGAGAAACGCATCCCTATTTAAGCTAAGTAAAAATAGCGTAGCTCGCTGGAATAAGCTAGTTGAGTGATTTCTGCCCATCACTGTTTGATTGACAGAGACAACATAACTAAAGAGTGTGATGAAAAGTAGTGTGAGTGGTGTAGCTTGTAAAGCGCATAACATTGTGTTTTGACGCAATCGAGTATGAACCCAGTTCGAATCCAGCGTCTGATGAACTCATTCTTTTTTTTTCCTACTACATATCAGATTTTGCCTACACTCTTCATCATGAGAAGGACAAGTAGAAAGCCTTAATAAGTGGGTGTATTATGGAAGACTCAAGATTCATAGAACTGGATTGGAGAGTAGTTATATCCAAATCATATGAATTAAAAGTTTGTAGAAGTGCTTGCAAAAATACCCTTAAATATAAATTTTTAGTACCCTAGTAGCAAAGAATTCTGGCCCAGATTTGGCATAAAGCTGGCACAGCAGGCATTCATCCGGCACTGGCATACAGCATGTGGGCCAAACATGGCCCGGGTTTGGCAGAGGTGGCACCGTCTTTAAGGCGACACACAAGATTTGGGCCAGATGAAAAACGTAGTATTTGGCCCAGATTTAAAAATTTGAAAGTGGGCCATGTGAGTTTGGGCAGTCTTGACCCACATTTAAAATACACTAAAATCATTTTTGAGTAAAGAAAAAAAATTCTACCAATCAGGTCACTTTGAGGAAAAAGTGTGCCCATAGTGTGCCTAAAGCGCATCACTCCATGGGTTTATCAATTTCATTGCAATCGTGACACACCCACCTATCAGGCCCAGTTCAGGCCCAGTTGTGAGTTATTAACTTGGCTGAGACTTGGCCCAGATATGGTCCGTGTTTGGCCCTTGTCTGGAAGCCAGATTTGGTCCAGTCATGTACCGTAATTCACTGCGGCATGTGGGCCAAGCAAAACCTGATTGTGTGGGCCAGAGCTGGGCCAGAGAAATTTTGCTATGTGGGTAGTGCTTCAGTTAACTTGAACAAGTATATTAAAATCCATAAATTTTCACTAGTTGTATTAGTATATATATTTCAAAGTGTACTTTAAATGCTTTAAAATTAAGTTCAATCTTTGAAGACCAGAAATATATGTACTATATAAAATTTATTTAAAAAATGCGTGCAATACATTATAGAATATATTATTATTATACACTATTAAAAAAATATTTTATTAATAATTAATTTTCCTTCAGCATAGTCTCTATTTCAGAGGTCACCAGAGTAGTGGATGCCCTTCCAGCCGCAACCCAGTACTGGGAAACACCCATACACACTCATTCACACACACACTGATGCACTACAACCAATTCAGTTTATCAATTCTCCTATAGCGTATGTATGCTGTGAGGCGACAGTGCTAACCACTTAGCCAACATGCAGTCCTGAAAATAATATATTTACGCCAAAGATTTCTTAAATGATCTTAGCATATCACTTCAGTTTTATCTTTGCATTGTTTTCCAGTTACATTTAGAAAAAAAAATTATTTATTTATTTATGGTAGAATAATTGTATAATTGTAATGATACTCTGATAAAAAAAAAAAAAAAAAAAAAAAAATATATATATATATATATATATATATATATATATATATATATATATATATATATATATATATAATAAAAAGTATTTTTTTAATAATATATTTATCATTTTATACATTTATAAATAAACTGGGCGTGGCTTTGTTGTGGGGGTGTGGTTTGTGGATATGGGTGGGGGTTAACTTCTCACTCAAGCTAAAGCCGAAAGTTTGCAGCCCTGTCGGAGTCTGCTGCTGTCCACCGGAAGTCGCATTTTGGTCACAGGCACATGCTTTAAGTGCCTTTCTGAATGAATGAATGAATGAATGAATGAACAAGGCATCCCGGGCTGCTGAAATATAATTGGCTAAACTGGCATTGGGCGGGTTTAAAGAACCAAAACAAAGACAGCTGTTCCGAGTAACTGACTTCAGCATTGTTTTTCAGATAAACACAAATGTTCACTTGGCATGTATCTTATATCGTCACCTTTGAATTATAAAGTTCTATCTGAATTTTTTTTCAAAATTGATTTGTTGCCATATTCTTATTAAATGACAACTTATTTACATTATGGAATGTTTTTTATGAGTTGTTTACATTTTACCACTTTTTATTTAAAAAAAAAAAACAATGTTACACACGTACTGTTTGTAATATGGAATGCGAAAACTTTGAAGCTCAATGTCTCAAAATCATTCAGAATGCAGATAAAACCTTATAATTAAAAGGTGATGAAATAGCTGCAAACATATTATGGTATTTTATGTTTTAGAAGAGTCACAAACTTACATACAGCACCTTTAATTGGTTCTTTTTGCAGTTGCAAGATGTGCTGTTTATATGTCAAAAAATAAATGCACACTTAAAAAGTTGATTTATTCAGGATTTTAATGTTTTTGGTCTTCTGAATGTTTTACAATTAAATTTGACGTACTCTACAACATATTTCATCATGTTGAAAATAAATACCATCATTAAATAACCACAGTTTGTAAGAATAAGACCACGTGATAACTCTTTTTTTATCTTTTAGTGGATTTGAACTACCAGTTGTCCACGTATTATTCTGAAATTTCAGGAGGTAAAGGATATTTACGGTTTTTGTTTTGCAAAATGTGTCAACTTGATCAAATATATGATTGATAAAACTTTATTATATATATATATATAATTTTTTAATTTTTTTTGGCAGCGTTTGATGACCCAGTATATTCGGTTGTTAATAAAAGAACAAACAATGACCACATGTAAGTTTCTGCAACACAATATGTATTATTATTAATTGATTCTCATTCAACTCTATAACACAGGCCTCATTTATAAATGCTGGTCATGTACAGTACATGTTTATGCAAACAATTTAATTTGCTGACCATATTTATGCTTTGCTTTATTTCCCAACAGTTGGTGTGAACAAGCAGCAGTCTATTCATGTATTCCAGATCACGTCTATGCCAGTCCAGTGCTGTGAAACAAAACTCAATGATTTTTTTATTTCATTTTGCTCAATAAGACATGCACTGTTTAATATGAAATAAATGAATATGCATCTTACTGAAATATAGTCAAAAAATCATTATTTTACATGTGCAGTTTATAACACTAGAAAGCTGCACTAATATCCATCTCTGTAAGTTCTTTTGGTCAAAGAATGAAGAATGAAGACACAAGTTTCTTTAAAAGATTTTGTATATGTCCACATGTGTCTTCCTGTTTTCCCTCTTTTGAAAAAAGCAAGACTTCCATAGCCTCTTCTGTTTGCCATTTGACTAAAAATTACAGCCAGAAGCCATACATTGTGGCATTCTATCAGTATTTTATTTTCAGAGTTGCATTACTGTAAACAGTGCAAGTGGTTCACTGAATGCAACCTTCTGACATCATGCACTGCACACCTGAAATAATGATGGCCCCCATAGGGCAAAATTAAGATGTGTGTTACTTTAAACATGTCTCTGACAGATTTTGATAAATGACTTGATATTTCTATGGAAGCGTTTTTCTTTGGATTGGGTGGACATAATATATTGTTTCAGCTTTAAAAAGTCATATTGCAGGATCTGCAATGTGGAGTCAGGATTATAGTTATTTTAGGATATTGTGAGGGGTGTTGATCTAAAGCGAAATAATGTATAATGTACATTTAACCTGTTTCAAGATAAGAAATGAAGCTGGGATTTTCAAGCTACCCTGGCTGAATTTAATCTTAACATGTGTGGAAATATAAATTTCTATCATCTAATTCCAAATGAGCAATAATCTATGTATAACTGAAAAGTTATATTCTTTGGTTTTTAATAACATCATGTCATTGACATGCCAGCTAGGAGGGACATTTAACCTTTGCCCTGCTGACTACAGGCTAAGCCAAAGTGATGCAATTATCGGTTTCACAGCATGGCTGTATCTATTGTCTTCTCTGTCACCAGAACATCATTTGCACACTGTTGTAATGATGTACTTATATGCTGATGAGATCAGACCTGGAGAAGGCATGGCACCCTGCAGACAACCAGACTTCATTTGCATGCTTTGTTTGACTGTCCCCACTAACATGTATCAAAATGTATAAATGTATAATGTTTGCTGTGCAGTTTAGAGTTTGCTTTTGATGACGCCACCGCCACACGGAGTTCTTCTTATTAAAAAAGGATTCTGCTTTGAAGACAACCAAAAGATTCTCCTTGGTTTTTGGGGCTCTTGGAAGTTTACAACACATGGCAGCATGAAAGCAGGCAAAATTAAGGCAAAGACACAGAGATTCATTCAGAGCAGGCTCACAACCAGGCTAAGGATGTGATTTATCAGTTTTGCTGTCAATGCTATGCTAAAATCAACTAGTATCTGATTTAATACTACAACTGCAATTGGTGAAAATCATGTAATCCCGATTGCAGTTGTTGTATTAAATTGGAGTACAGTTAAGAATGATCTGCAGTAATATGCATGGGGCTAATATGTTTTTGCTTTTAATTCATGTGGTTGTCTTGATGAGTGTTGCCCTTATGTAAATATTGCATGTATGTTGCCAGTATAAAAGACAAATTTCTTTACTGTGCCAAGCGAAACAGACAATAAAGTTTAAACTAAACTAAACAAGAAATTAATGTTTTATGGTTGCTTGATGTTCTTGGCCATTTTCATGCCATAATTTTGTCCACAATGTCATACTGTTTGGTCACTTACAACAAATCATATCATGGAGCAAATAGCTGGACTGTAGGGTCTATAAGATCCACAATAGATTTTCTGGATGGACACATCACTGCTTTGCTCAATCTATCTCTAATGCTTTCTCATTTCAAAATGACATTATGAATAACAGTGATTAAACAGCACTATCAAAATTTAAATAGTGCTACCTCAGCAGCCCGTTGTGCTTTGGTACTAAAACTTAATACAAGGACTGATCGTTCCACCAGATCTGCAACAAATGGATGTCTGCCATTACTGGCATTTAAAAATGGTTATGGACAGAGATCTTTATTTTCTGTATTCACAAAAGCCTGGAATGAGATCCCACAAAGTTTTAAAAACAATACCAACACTGAGACTTTTTTTTTTAAATTCCCATGCTTGTCATCTGATGGTCAACTATAGTCACTGTGATAGTAGCCTGTCTGTCTTCATGTTGGATGTTTGGTGATTGTTTGTACTGTTCTCATGTCTCGACAGATGAGATGTTAAGGGTGTTTGTATGTTTCTGTGTTCTGCAGAGCAGGAACCTGCTGAAAAACAGCATTCATGCTGAGCCAGGCCTGATTATCTTTTAATCTTTTGTTGTTAAAAGAAAATTAAATAAATATATAAATACGTCTATTTTCCAACCATTATAATTAGAAATGTGCATGTTGAATAGTAGTAGCAATTGTTTTATTTTTGTTCACATATGGCAATTTCACATTCATTGATAAGAGAGATATGGTTAGATAACAAACTGGAAGTAAAATGTTTATTTAGTAAAATACAAATTCTAAAGAATTTATATATATTTATAATAAGTTATATAAGTTTGACAGTTGAGAACTATCAATTCCTTCACTGTTTTTTTTTTTTTTTTGTAAAAAATGTTAAACTGTCATGTGATGTGAAATAAAGTATCAAAACTAAGAAACATTCTTAATAATATACAAATAGCTTGAGAGGGATTTATCTTCATTGTTGGAGCCTTATCTTATACTATTGATTCTATATGAAAGTATGAATAGCTGTCACGGTGGCTCAGTGTTTAGCACTGTCACCTCACAACAAGAAGGTCGCTGGTTCGAGCCCCTGCCGAGTCAGTTGGCATTTTAATGTGGAGTTTGCATGTTCTCCCCATGTACACGTTGGTGGGTGCTCTGGTGTGCCCCAAAGATATGCGGTATACTATAGGTAAATTGGATTAACTAAACAGGCAGTAGTGTGTGAGTTTAGGGCTGTTTCCCAGTACTGGGTTGCAGCTGGAAGGGCATTCACTGCGTAAAACATATGCTGGATGAGTTGGCAATTCATTCCGCTGTGGCAACCTCTGATAAATAAAGGTTCTAAGCTGAAGGAAAATTAATGAAAGTATAAATAATATATATTTTTCTCAGGCCGAAACGGTGGCCCAGGTAGTAGGTAGTGCTGTAGCTTCATAGCAAGAAGGTTTCTGGTTCAAGCCTCGGCTGGGTCAGTTAGTGTTTCTGTGTGGAATTTGCATGTTCTTCCCGCGTTTGTGTGGGTTTCCTCCGGGTGCTCCGGTTTCCCCCACAGTCCAGAGACATGATGTACAACGTGAATTGGGTGTGAATAGGTGTGTATGAATTTTTCCCAAGGATGGTTTGCAGCTGGAAGGACATCCGCTACGTAAAACATATGCTGGATAAGTTGGCGGTTCGTTCCGCTGTGGCAACCCCTGATTAATAAAGGGACTAAGCCGAAAATAAAATAAATGAATGAATATTTTTCTTAATGACATGTTGGACATTTTCAGTGTCACTAAGGACAAAATTGTATTTAATAGTGTTTTGAAAAAGTAAATTATGTCAAACTTTCTGAGACAAAAACTTAACATGTGCAAGTCATGGACTTCAGTCACATGATCTTGAATGGCGTGCCAATCAGAGGACATGGCTTTCAGTGACAATGTATTAAGTTCCTACGTTTAAGAATAGGAATAAAAATGCCATTAACTAAACTAAACATGTGCAATTAAGCTTGATTTATTTATTGGTGATTTGACAGTTTTCTTTTTAATTAGAAAGAGCTGTAATTTATTGAACTTTGCTTGAGAGAGTCACGCTTTACTGTGAGCCAATTTTTAAATGTTGCTGTTTTTAAAACAAGAGGTCCTTGGAAGCCAAAAAAATGTTGAACCATTTAATGCATTTTAAATGATGGCAATACTAATTATATTCAATGTAGAAACCCTGCTCCTGACCAGTTTAGTTTATAGAGTAGGTTACCACAGTAATCGTCTGAATATGAGTTACCTCCATTTTAGAAACAGGCTTGATTTTGCTTTCCTGCGTTTGACCCAGTTTCGCCCATTTCAAGATTAACCTACTCTGGGTCATTGTATTGAAGTTACTGTATTTTCCTATTTGAGTATTGTGTGCTCAGGCCTGCAGAGGGCAGTGTGAGTGACTTCTACAGTATTTGACTGCACAGTGTGCATGATTTAGGTATGTCTGTTTATTCACAATCTGTTTCTGTGAATCATTATGACCTTTTACTGAGATCTAATTATATATTCCCTAAAATATTATGCACACTGTGTTAGTACAGATACACAGAAGTGCAGATTAACCACAACTGATATAAATAATAAAATAAAATATGTAATAAAATTTAATGTGCGCGTACTATATTTTTGTGGTTTTAATGAAGTTATTTTAACATTTACATTCATTTATTTTCCTTCCTTTGGCTTATTCTTTGATTTATCAGAGGTGGCCACAGCAAAACGAACAGCTAACTATTCTGGCATATGTTTTATACAGTGGATGCTCTTCCAGCTGCAATCCAGTAGTGGGAAACACCAATACACTAAATGAACAGTTCATGTAATCCCGCGTAACCCTGGGCTCTGGACCTCTGGTTGAGGATCATTGATGTAACGTAAACAGAAGCAAAATAACACCCAGACACTAGATTGATATTTTAATAAAGTTTAAATAGTTTTATCCTGACATGCTGTCTAAAAACTAAGCTGAGCTAAAAAGCAATGTGCTGCATAAGACTCAAGATTATGGCCTTGGACGTCCATCAAGCATGTTTACATAAAAAACAATGAGAATATAAGACTCTGTCTCATCTTGTGTGCACATCAGTCTCTTTTCTTTACACATGCACAGGATTGAACAGTTGTTGTTCATTGATAAAATGTATAAATTAAAAATCTTTATTTTTGAAGTTTGAATGAACTTTTATCTACATCAGTATGTAATGTTATGATGTACAGTACAATAAAATTCATTTAAACTTCAAAAATAAAGTTTAATTTATACATTTTATCAATAGACAACAACTGTTCAATCTTGAAAATATAAAAAATATGTTGCAAAGACAGTAAAAACCAGTTTTTCTCAATCGATTCTCCAATTTCTTTTCTTGCTGAACTGCAGGAGAGGCAAGTTTTGGATTGTACAGCACAACAATTTCTGCCATCTATTGTAATCCATTTTAAAATGTTGGTACATGTGAGAATTTAGACAATGTTTTGTACTTAATTAACAGTATATTTGTAGTTCTACTATCATCAAGGATGCTTTTTTTCATATAGTTTGGTGTAAATGTGAAACGATGCACATTTGGCTCACATTTGACAGAACATGGTTTCCAACACAATGAAGAAAAATGAGGCTGAAAGTAGGAGCAGGTTTTCAGCTGAATATTTCAAAATGTATATGGCACAACATGCATGGAATTTACAAACAGTCTGTTGTGAAACTGTTGTCAATAGTTTTGAAATGAGTGTGTTAGCATGGAAAATATAGCTAACCACGTCGCTTTTAGAATATGAATGACAAAAGTGTTTGGGAATGTGTTCAGTGTGTGCATTTAATGTGAAAGCAATGAAAAGTGATTCACAGTATGATTTACATAGACATTTGCTCTACATTCACTTCTGTTTGGCTGAATCTTTGGTAGCACTTGAAAAAATAATAACTGGCTTCCATCGGTGGACAAAAATGAGCTCACCTCAAGTGACGTGTAACCAGAATGTTAGTATTAATAATTAGGACTAAAACCACTACACATTACTGTAATTAACAAAACATGACTGTGTCACTGATCAGTAGATTTTGTACCAGATTGTGCAAATGAACAATGCAATGGCATGATGTCAGTAAATGTAGATGTGCAGTAGAGTCAGAACTACCTACGTACTTAGCTGGTCAGATCAGAGGAAGTTAACAGACACAGGAAAAAGTGAAGATATTTGTAAAGACGAGCTGCACAGAAAAGAAGGTCTAAGAAAATGGCTGACAAGTGTTGTTTGAGTCTGCTGGGACTGATAGTTCTCTGCACACCTCTCACAGGTAAAGCAATATGTCCGTATGATAATTCATTTAAAATATTGACTCTGTTAAATAATACTTAGTTTTATGATTCTTATGTGATTCATGTTGTGATTGTGTGGAGTGTTTGTTGGATTTGCTATTATATTTGCCTTGCGAGATATGACTGTAAGTTATTTCGGCACTGGTGGGAGGCGTGCATAGGCATGAGGCTGCAGGCCGAGTGCCTTAGTGTCCCACCAGTGATGATATATAGCCATATCACACTGCTACAAGTATGACAGTGCATTTATACAACAGTTTGACAACATTATTGTGTAAATAAAAAAGAAAATGAAACACTGACAGTCTAAAATCCTTTTGTATGAGGAACTACTTTCCAGTCACTCATTCACATCTGCAGTTGATGTCAAAACAGTAAAAACTGTTGCTACTTCACCAACATCTCTTTAGAGCTATTATTTGAATAATTTTCTAGCGTAATGTCTAAAGTGTTGACAAAACAGGTGATTTTGCTCACATTTTATGATTGCATACTAGTCTACATACATTTCCCAGTATTTCTCTGTTGCAATCGGAAGATCACAATAATTAACCCCCGAAAAATCCAAAGCAG